TTCTGCTATAACTCCCTTCCTCCCTCCACCCAGCCCTTGTTAACCACTAATAAACTTTTATCTCTATTTACCTATTCTAGATATTCCATATAAGTTGAAAACATACAATATTTGTTCTTTTGCCCCTGACTTAACTTCACTAGCATAATGTTTTCAAGGTTCATCCATGGCATAGCATGTGTCAGGATTTTCATTTATCTTTATGGCTGAGTAATAGTCCATTGTACGCATATGCCACATTTTTTTTATCCGTTCAACTACACTTGGGTTGTTTCCACCTTTTGGCTATTGTGAATAATGCTGCAGTGAACGTTGGTGTACACGTAGCTGTTTGAATCCCTGCTTTCAGTTGTTTTGGATAAATATCTAGGAGTGGAATTACTGAGTCATATGATAATTCTGAAAGAGCCCTCGTGATGCAGTGGTTAAAGCGCTTGGCTGCTAACCCAAAAGGCAGCAATTCGAACCCACCAGCTGCTCTGCGGGAGAAAAATGTGGCAGTCTGCTTCCATAAATAGTACAGCCTTGGAAACCCTATGGAGCAGTTTTACTCTGTCCTTTAGGATCGTTAAGAGTCGGAATCTTGGAGCCCTGGCACTGCAGTGGTTAAGAGCTCAGGCTGCTAACCAAAAGGTTGGTAGTTCGACTCTACCAGCTGCTTCTTGGAAACTTTATGGGACAGTTCTACTCTGTTCTATAGGGTCACTATGAGTTGGAATCAACTCGGTGGCATTGGGTTTGGTTTGTTTATGGTAGTTCTGTGCTTAACTTTTTGAGGAACTACCAAACTGTTTTCCATAGTGGCTACACCATTTTACATTCCTACTGGGGCTCCCTTTTAATGAGTAGAGTGAATGGCCATGGGCCTCCTCTTGCTGCCTGCCCATAGGCTCCTGGCTGTAGTGCCCAGATGTGCTGGCCTCACAGAGGAATCTGGGGCCTGTTTTTCACTCTAACCCTTTTCCTTTAAAATCAATGAAGATTAATAGAATGCTCTGAAAATCTGGGCATTCCTGAGCCATCTTTTCTAAGGGAAATCCTATATTAAAATGACCAAAATCCTCAAGATTGGCTTGAAAGTCTTTCAGTTGTCCTTTTCTACGCTGAGAAATTAGAGTGTGTACTCTCATACAGAACTTGTAAAATAAAAAGCCCCAAAACACTTTTTCTTCAGAAGAGGACAAAAGCTAATGCTGAGGAGCAAGGCTGTGGCACTTAACCATGTTAATCCATTAAGCACTGCCAAAGAGAGACTGGGGCAGTATGTGTCAGTCCAGCTTACTTAGTGCCAGGCAGTGTGTCGGTGTGAGGGCTATTTCTGGCATCCACGCCCAACCAGGCACTGCACAGCCAGGGGAAAGAGCCACCCATGGTCCCATGCCTGGGCAGGGGGAGAAGCCATGAAGCAGAGGGCTCGTGCACTGAAGGCTCTCTGGCTGTCAGGCCCTTGTGGGGTACAGGGAGGGGAGACTCTAGAACCCAGCACATTCTGCTCTCTACAGAACCACTGCTGATTGGTCAGGACTGAAGTCAGACCTGGGGAGAGAGTAGATACTGTAGTCTGGGATAAAGACAGTGCCTTTTTACAGATGAGTTGTTTGTAGGAACTCAAGAAATGACTTAGGCAGGCTATACCCATCCTCCCCCATCCACTGGCCTCCCCAGGGCACACGCTAAGACTTAGGCCCACCTGATCAGCAAGGCTGCCCATCCAGTTTGCATACCCTCCATAGGAACAGACTTTTTGGGTCAGTTGGGGAAATGTTCACAGATAAAGAGGACGGACTCCCTCTTGGAGTGACTAGGGGTCTATCCGAGGTTGAATGTGCAATTCGTTCATCTACCCTGCTTTAGACACCAAAGATTACATCACTGAACAACCACTTTACATTCTTATCAGAGGGGACAGACACTGAGCAAATAAATGAGAAAATACAGCATATGTAGCTGATGATCATTGCTTTGGAGAAGAATTAAGAGGGGGTGTGTGAGTGGAGAGCACCAGAGGGAGGGCTGCTGTTTCACATAGGGAGCACAGAGTTAGAGAACACTTCTCTCACAAGAGGCAGTTTGAGCAGAGACTTGAAGGAGTGAGGGAGCAAGCCAGGCAGATATATGAGGAAGAGCATTGCAGGCAGAGGGACAGCAATTGCAAAGATGAGAACATGCCTGGCATGTTCAAGGAACAGCCAAGAGGCCAAAGTGGCCAGATTAGGGTCAGGGAAAGAATGGTAGGAGATGGGCCTTCCTTTGTCTCATGGGAGTTAGATCACAGAGGACTGTGTGGGATTTGGCTTTCCCTCTGGGATGGAGCCATTAGACCATTTTGAGAAGAGTGACATGATCTGACTGTGGGTTTAGAGGTTCCCTCTGGCTTCTGTGTTGAAAACAGAACAGAGGGAGGCAAGGATAGAAGCAGGGAAGCCAGTGAGGAGGCCGTTGGGGAGATCACAATAGATGATAGCAGTCAGGACCGAGTGGTAGCTGTGGGGGTATGAGCAGTGATCCCATTCTAATTGTATTTTGAACATAGAGGTGACACGATATACTAATGGATTAGTCTGTGTGGTGTGAGAGAGAAAATGAAGTTAAAGAAGATTTCAAACAAATCTTTTGCTGTAGCAAAAGAGTAGAGTCCTCTCTGAGGAGAGGGACAAAGCCTTGGAAGAGCGGCAGGTATGGGGAGTTGAGTCATGAACATATTAGGTTCTAAGTGAAGATATCAAATTGGATCTGTACGTCTGGCGTTTGGAGGGAGTCCCAGGCAGGAGATACGAATGCAAGGGTTATTTGGCATATGTCTGCTGACCTGTAGAGGTACCTAATGATCCCCCCTTTGTCTCTTGCCTGTGTGTTCTGTGAAGTGGGAAGGAGAGGAAAGAGATGTTAAAGAAAGTGGAGGCTAAGGCAGGAGCTTCTAACTTGATGATTAGAAAACAGACCTAAGGACTCTTGAGTCCCACCCTCAGAGCCCCAGTGTCACCTGCAGGCCTCCGTTTAAGCATAGAGGGTGTGATTCTTCCACTCATTCTTGCTCAGTTGTAAAGAGTAAAAAAGGAACTCGGGAGTGCAGAAACACCGTGTAGACTCCAGGGGCTCTAAATCATGAAGTCACGTCACACCGGTAACCCAATCACAGGCTTCTCCTTTTGGATTTTCCTCCATCCTTGTACACTCATCCACTCAGCATTCCCCTCTTTCTTGCCTGTGCACTCCTAATCAGCCTCTAACCATTCCCTTTCGTTCCTTTTTTTTCCACCCTCCCAGCTATACAGATGTTATTGATGTTGTCCAGGCCCTGCAGACCCATCCAGACTCAAATGTCAAGTCCTCCTTTGCCATTGGTGCCATCACAGTGTGCGTGGAGCCCCTGAGTTGCTACATGGAGCACAGGTAATACTTCAGACCAACTCCAGCCCACAAGATATGTGTTAAAGTGTACAGAAAATGAATTTTATCTCACTCACCAGGAGACATATCTTTATAGTTTGTTTGTTTTTGGAATGCATCAGTCTTACCTTGTGTGGAGTAAATGGTCAGTTATTCTTCCATTAGTGCTAGGTCCTCAGAAAACCCATTTGGACTGGCAGCCTCCCACCACTTCTCTTTGTGCACTGAAAAGTTGTTCATCTAGGGCAGTGGGACTTGAAATGGATTCTCCCAGAAGGAGAGATCGCCTCTGGCTGTCTTTTCCTAAGGCATTTGGAGTATCTCACAGATACTTTTTCATATTGTTAAGCCATCTTATCTCAGTTAATGACACTCATTCTCATTACTGATAGTGTCACTTTGGAAGTAATATAACAGCAGCAAAGAAGGTTGCATAATAATTCATCCATAATCTCACCAACTCAATGTACCTGTTATAATTTTTGTGAATTCCTTTCTGGACTTTTTTTTTACAATGTGGTGTGCATGTAATTTTGCATCCTTTTTCTTAGGCTAGCATATAAACATTTTATGTAGGTTTATATATATATATATTTTTTTTTCCTGTATCATAATGGTAATTACATTTTGATTAATTATATAATTGTGCCATTGTGTGGATGGACATAATTGCCTTGACCATTTCCCCACTGTTAGTCACATAGGCTGTCTCTAACTTTTCACTATTAAAAATAGTGCTGTGGGGAACATATTTATCCATAAAAATTTTACAGATTTTAGAATATTTCCTTAGAATAGATTCCCGCAAACAGTTACCAGTCAAATTGTATGATTACTTTTGTTACTCTTTATTCACATTTCCAAATTGCTTTTTGAATGGGTTTTACAGTTTACATTGCTACCAGTGGTGTCTGGAAGTACCTGTTTCACCATCAGAGCACTCTTCACTGGGCAAAATTTCAAGTATTACATTGTCCTCTCTTAGAGCTATTTGTCTTCCTCTCCCTTTAGCCCACTGGAATGTACCCAGCTCTGTAATCATATGTTTTTTCTGTCTAGTTCATATCCTCATCCTCTCCTGATAACTGATTGATCTATCCTTAGACCTTCATCTGGAAAAACTCCCTTCCTACTTGGGTTCCAAGTTGATATCTTTAGACTCCTGGTAGAAATTACATTAGAGGCTACTTCCCTAATTACCTTGGTTGACCCCTAAAAATGTCTTCACCATTCTCAGTTTTCTTCAGCTGTGACCTGGATTTTGCTCTCCCATAAAAAAGCCAGCGTGGTCTAGTTTTCCTTCTGTGTGAGATTGTTGTAGTGAATGCCAAACGTCACCATTATACTTTGACTGCTGTGTTGACTCTTCCATGCTACTCCTTCTACCTTTCATGTTTCTCCTTTTTCTCAAGTTTTTATTTAAAGATGAATTAAAACAGAAGGGAGTCTAACATGGGTCTAGGTACTACCAAAGACACTACCAGAAAAAGGGTAGGAAAAACAATAATAAGCAACAGATGGAGGTTACCCTCAAAAGAATTATCCCAGACAAGTACTTTTCCACAATGTCAAAAAAAATTTAAGGGATTATCAGAATAGGGCGAGGAGAGCTCAAAGAAGAAATATATAAAAGGTCTGAGGAAATGGGCATGAGGTTCTTTTTAGGGTGACGGAAATATTCTAAAATTAGATTGTGGTGATGGCTGCACAACTCTGTAAATTTACTTTAAATATCATCGAGTTGTACACTTTGAATGAGTGAATTCCATGATATGCAAATTGTACTTCAATAAAGCTGTTAAATTTTTTAAAAATCAGAGGGAAAAGGAGCTAACAAAAGCTGATGGAAAATGAACTGTTAGAGCTCTAGAAAGAAAATAAAGATTATAATAAAATCACTATGGAAATGAAAATCTCATTTGAAGCAGCGAGAAGTAACAGACACTGCTGAAACTTGAGTCTATGTCAAAGAACCTCAGGCTTGAGGCAATAAAGTGAAGAGGAAGTAGGCAAAGAAGTTAATTCTGTTTGAGAAAAAGAGTGTATAGACTTAGCTTTTGTGAGAGCAAGAACCATTTCTGTGAATGCTTGGTACATACTAAGTACTCACAAAATATTTGTTGAATAAATGAGTGCGTCGACATGTGTGCATTAGATGTCCTTGAAGAGAATTAATTAATTGATTTAGGATATAAAAGGACTAAAGAGTATATAATCCATTTAAATATAGAAATAAGGCTAAAAATAGGTGAATTATGGTTATGGAATATGAAAATATAAGTAATAAAATCAGGGGTAAGCGATAGGAAGTATGAGTACGCTGATTTCTTTCTTTTTATATTAGGAAGTCAAAAGTATTACTTAAGTCAATAAATCAAAATTACTGATTTGCTCATTTTCTAGATACTAATGATAAATTTCCAAATTTACTTTTGAATTCCTTCCTGAAAGTAATTTACTATGTTGTTGTTGTTGTGTGCTGTTGAGTTGATTCTGACTCATAGCGACCCTATAGAAAAGAGTAGAACTGCCCCATAGGGTTTCCAGGGAGCAGCTGGTGGATTCAATCTGCCGACCTTTTAGTTAACCAACCTTTTAGTTAGCAGCCATAGCTCTTAACCACTATACCACCAGGGATGCTCTGTTGAAAAATTAATGTTTCTCCCTTGGTGCACATAAAACAGAATTAGAAAATTATGGGAATGATGATCAAGAATAGAAAATTATTAAAGTTAAGCCCATTCAATTAAAAAAAAAGTTCGATGGCCAACTGTGGTAGATTGAAAAAATGGCCACAGCTAAAGCATCCCCTCCTCCCACCAAGAGTTCTATTTCTGACCCTTTGAATTTGGACTTGGTCATGTGACTTGCTCTGGCCAATGGGACATTAGGAAATATGAACCAAGCAGAGACTTGAAAAGTGCTTATATGCTGGGCCTTGCTCTCTTGCTTCTGGGAGCTGAAGCCATCATGTGATGGCCTGGACTAGGCTGCTGGAGGATGAGAAACCACGTGGAGAGAGAGGCCTAACAATCCCAAATATTATTGTCATCCAGGCTAAGGGCTTGGAAGTGAAGCCATCTTAGATATTCAGCCCCAGTTGAGCTGCCCTAGACCAAAAGAACTGCCAAGCCAACACGCAGAATCATAGAAATAATAAACTGTCACTTAGTTTGGGATGATTTATTACACTGCAGGAGTCCCTGGGTGGAGCAAAAGGTTAATGCACTTGACTGCTAACCAAAAGGTTGGAGGTTTAAGTATACCCAGAGGTGCCATGGAAGAAAAGCCTAGTGATCTACTTCCAAAAAATCAGCCATTGAAAACCCTGTGGAGCATAGTTCTACTGTAACACATATGGTGTCGCCATGAGTCGGAATCAACTTGACAACAACGTATATACTGGTATTGCGCAGCAACAATGTGGGAAAATACGTATATTCATAGTGTTGAAATGTAAAATGGTATCTCTTTGGAGGCAAATTTGGCACTTCCATTGGTAAAATTTTATTCACTGGAGATTCTAAGTTTCAAACAGTAGAACCCACTCTAGTGCTTTAAATAGAACGGAGTTTATTAAAGGACATTAGATAGGTTGCAGAATCTTCAGGAGGGCCAAAGAGTCAGGCTGTATCATCTGGGCAGTCAGAAACAACACTCAAATCTCCCGTAGGACTGCCCTTAATGGGAATGTCTCCACTGCCTCCTTCACCAGAAAATAAAGTCAGCTTACCACACATTCCCTCACCCGACTCACTTACTACTAGTCGGAGTCTTGCAGTGCATCTAGTTGGTGGAACTTAGGTCAAATGCTTGCACCAGACTGCAAGGAAGGCTGGAAAAAACAGTTTTCTGCGGTTTACAAGGGAAAATGAGCTCCCTAAACCCAACCCTAGGAAAGGTGTGCAGAAGGTGTGGGCAGTCTGAAACATGACAGATGTCCTCTGCAGTGTTCAAAACAATACTGTTTATAATATCAAAGAACTAGAAATAGTCCAAATGCCATTACTAAGGGACTGGTTAAATAAACTTTGGTATATCCATAGAATGGAGTGCTGTGCAACCATTTTAAGAAATTAAGTAGACTTTTATGTACTAACATGGAAAATTTTCCACAATACTTTGGTAAGAAAAGCAAATTGCCAAATCAGTATGTATTTTTTTTTAATGTTTGTTTGTATATGCATAGGAAATATCTAGAAAGATACATACCAAACAGTGGTTCCTTCTGGGAAATGGGCATTGCCTTGAGGGTGGGTGTTGGATGAGTGGGAGATCACTTGACATTTTATAGTATGTATGTGTATTATTTTTTATATATATTTAATATATAATATTTTAATATACTAATATTTAATATATAACAGATTTATTGAGATATTCACATACCACAGAATTCACCCTGTTAAAGTGTACAATTTAGTGGGTTTTAGTATATTCACAATTGTACAACCATTACCACCATCCAATTCCCAAAAAGAAACCCCATATCCATTACCAGTCACTCTTCATTCCATCCTCCTCCCAGCCCCTGTTGAGCACCAATGTACTGTCTTAGGCTGGGTTCTCTAGAGAAGCAAAACCGGTAAAACATATAAATATATATAGAGAGAGATTTATATCGAGGAAATGGCTCATGCGATTAAGAGGCTGGAACGTCCCAAGTCTGTGGGTCATAATAGAGGCTTCTCCTGATTCACGTAGCCACGGGGGCTGGTGAACACAAGATTGACATGTCAAACAGCAGGGCTCTTGCTCACAGGCTGTGAAGGTTGATGAATCCTGAGATAGACAGGCAAGACAGCAGGTAAGCTGCTAGCTCAAGTCCCAAGAACTGGAGGTCAGATGAACAGGAGCCAGCTGCAGGATCCAGAGCAAGCAAAAGCCTTGGCAGAAAGTCCACTTATATTCAATGCAGGCCACACCCCCAAGGAAACTCCCTTTCAACTGATTGACTACTCACAGCAGATTCCATCATGGAGACGATCAAATTATATCAAATC